CTCTGGGTGCCGCGCGCACGTCGGCGGCGCCTTGCGTTTGGACGGACGGACGGACGAATGAACGAATGAATGAACGAATGCACGCATGAGCGGCACCGTGGCGGCGGCCGGCTCTTCCCTTCGGGGCAGGTCGTTCGCCGTTAGGGACTCGGCCCGCCGAAGCCCGGGCCGGTGGCGGTCGCGCGTAGCGCTGGATGGGAGAAACGCGCGCACCCCGAGGGCCCGAGGTGTGGGGCCGCCCCCGAGGCACCCCAGAGCCCCCCGAAGCTCCCAGGGTGGATGTGTTGAAATCCACGCACCTGCCCCGAGGCCACGTTTCGGCCCTTCAGAATCAGGCCTTCAACACTTACTACCGAAGACCTCTCCCGGGGCACGGGCTGTAGAGTCATGTCAGACTGTAATTACATGACGTCGCGCGGGCCAGTGGCCCAGGACGGGGAACCCCTGCGGGGCTGCAAGCGGCTTCCCGGGAGGAGGGTGCGGGGCGGCGCGCTCGTGCGCCCAGCTGCGGGAGGGCACCTGGTGGACGCGCTGTGTCACTCACGCACCTGTCGCCGTGAGAGGAGCCCTGGGGACTGGGCTGGGGGCGCTGCGCACGGCCGGCGGCTCACTCTGGCGTCGTTTGTAGGAGAGGTTGGAAGAGCAATGCATGTGAGTCTGACATCATGATATCCATCAGGCAAAGGAAAGGGGTCAAAACCACAGAAGTTTCTGAGGATCATGCGGCACAAGAAGAAAACGTGAAGTTGGAAGATAAATTGCTGTCTGGTAGGTGATTTAAATTCAACCAGCATTTGGGATCGCTTTTACTTCCGCGTGTTAAAATGCCACTCCCATAGGCTAAAAATTCAGTGAGACCTAACAGTTGAGGAAACTCATTCTAATACCCAGTGGTTTAGTTCCTCAGATAGTTTGCAGTTCGATCACACTGGTTCTACAGTTGTGGTTGGATAAAAAAGGAAGGGGGAAGCCCTGGTTCCTCGAGCGTCTTTCAGTGGCTGGGGGTTGCCAGGCAACCCTGGGCCGTCCCAGCCATGCTTTCCCCTTTTCTGGTTCACGTCCGCTGATCGGTCAAGGCAGCCCTGCCTGGGTGAGTTCCTCAGCTCATTAAAGCACTGGAAGATGAATCAAACAGTTTTTCAGTCTTTATTTTCAGTCATTTTCCTGAAATTTTATTCTTTACTCTTTTGTTTGGTGGGAAAAGTGGTCAGAATTTCATGTTTTTAATACAATACTAAAGACACTTGCTAAGCCATACGTCACCCGGCCTTAATTACTAACCTCTCACCTCCAGAGTTCATGAGCATGGTCAAGGTTTTTAAAAGCAAGGGTGAGAAATTCCATCTCCAGACAATTTGGGTTCTCTGACAGAAGTTAGAGAGAACCAGCCATGTCAGTTCTTACCAGCCAGATCTAGTAATTTAGAGAAACAATTTTATAAAATAAAAGTGATCTGTATTGAAAAATCAGGCCATGCAACTCAGCTATTAGCAATTTCGGACGAGACGGTGCTTTCTGAAGACCTTATTCAGTGCAAATTTAAGTTTGGTTTTTTAAATTAAAACATAACTTTGAGGGCTGTTTTACCAAAGCAATATTTGTTTATACCAGGAAAATCACCCGAAAGCTAAAGAAAAGCAAAAAAGGAAAAAGTATTCCCCTAAACCCACCCGTTCTGAGACTGGCATGCAGGACACTTCATCTTGCCGTCTACGTCGCCCACAGTGTGAACCTGCCAGCGCACACGCCTGTGTGGCTTCACAAAGCTGATGTGCTTTTGCTGTGGTTCTCCCACGTTATGAACATAAGTAGTCAATGTATTTAAAAAGATTGTCAGTGTATCCTCGTGTGCCCAGAGCGTAATTTATTTTACTAATTCCATGTTGGATATTTAGATGATTTTTTGACCTTGTGCCTGTGCAAACCACTGTGATAAATATTCTTGTGGCCAGATGTTCATTTAAAACTCTAATTATTTGGGGGGGTGACGGTATGCCTAGATACAGAGTTGCTGGCCACACAGTAGGTGAACACAAGTCGTAAGCAGACTGTCTGCATCCTAGACATGCAGACCACACGCTCCTCCGGAAATGAGCCTCGCGGCCCCACAGCAGTTGCCCAGCTGGGTGGGCACAGGCTCTGGGCGTTCGCTGAGAGAGGTGATATCCCTTCCACAGGAAGCTCGCGCCCCAGAGTGGAAGTGGGCAAAGCGGTGCTAAGTGTGTGGGATCAGATCTGGGGTCACAGAGCAGCCCGACTGTCCACTAGGGACACAGAAGCTCCCCCGGTGACGGGCAGCTGGGACTTAGCATGCTTGATAGTCTGAAGGAAGACTGTTAACTTCTGTTTCCTTTTTCTAAAAGGTTGTAGCAGTACAAGATTATGGAAGACTCTGTCATTTACAGTTGGGGGAACCATTGCCCTTTGCGTTGGACTCTTTACCTCTGTCTACCTGGCCACTTTACACGAAAACGACCTATGGTTTTCTAACATTAAGGTATGAGGCTTCTACGATCGTTGTGTGATTTGCTCGTTGGTGTATCCATTTGGTAGCCATGGAGGCGAATGACCACACAGGCCGTACAGAGGCCAGTCTCTGACAAGGTTTGGCAACGGAGTAAAAGGACCACATTTGTGAGTTTAAAGTAGCATCAGAGTCCCCTGAGCCAGCGCGTCCTGCCGCACCACCGTGCCCCAGCTACCTGGCGGTCACGCCACCCCGCGCTTTTCCGGCTGGGCTGTGCCATTGGTGCCGGAGGTGGCGAGTGACATCTTCTGACGAAACCAGGTATAAGAGGACACTCCCACGTACTCTAGGGTTGAGGATTGATTCTGAGAATTATGTGTATGTATGTGCAATACGAACATTTTTCTTCCATTGCGTACAGTAAAAAAACAAATTGGAAAGCCACTGCTCTAAACCGTGGGGTCTTCATCTCCACAGGTGATGTCAGCGCGTCCGCACCTTTCCAGCGGTGTGTGCAGGTGGTCGGGGACGAGCCATAACTGTCATCACATTCTCAGGAGGCTCTGTGATTTTATAAACACCAGTTTCCTGTTCTCTCTTTAAACATTTCTAGATGTCACAGTATTTTCAGAACAAATATATCACATTCGTAAGGAAGCTTACACATTGCCAGTGTTTTTCATCCAAATATACCATGTTTTTGATCTAAAATGTCATGATCTTTGACCTATTTACCACCGTGCTTACAAAGGCAAAATCGACCTTCAGAGGTCAAAGATGTGTCATCTGTGAGGACATTTCAAAGAGTCAGTGTAGAACCTGAAGACAGTTCCCAGAGAGTCTTTCAGTGTTTTGCGCTTTGGTTTCCTTACTGGAGTGAGCCTCCAGAAGAAGAGCGCTTTAAATGACACACTTCATTTGTATGAATCATTCCTGGTATGCTTATTTTTAAAACCTGTCACTTCACTTCATAGGTATAGCATGTGTTTATATCTCTTTATACAAATCATCATGATATCAAAGAATAATGATTCCTTAGGTGACAGCTGTTGGTTTTCTTGTCAAGAAAAACTTTACTCACCTGTATCTCTTTAAAACGAGGTGCTTACAAACACATTCCGTACAGTTAAGCAACTTAATGCTTACTTATTAACAAGTATGTGGGATAAAGGCCCAAATGTCCCTCCATGGGTACATAGCCAAAATTGAATGCTGTGACTATCATAAAATGTACTGAAAGAGACCGTGTGATTTAATTTTAACCGGTAAGTTTAGTTCTTTAATCTGAAGCTCATATGAGACCCTGCTAGCACCCTCAGATAAGCACGCCCCATCATCAGGAGACCCAGGCATCCCTGACCTTTCTCTCTCTGCCCTCATGAGGTGAGGAAGTCGTCACACTTTTACCTGGTGTTTGTTGAGCACCTGTTCCGTGGGAAACCCCGAATCAACACCGTGGGCACGTGGAAGGATAACAGGCTTCTGAATTTTCCAGCAGGCCTTCCGGGGTAGTGAATGGATCCAGCAAATGCATACGACGCTCCTGCAGTGCGCCAGCAGGCACTGCTGTCAGAGGCGGCAACACTGCCGGGCGGGACAAGGCGCCGTCTGGGAGGGGCCCGCCGGCGAGTCGCAGTGCTTGACGCCAGCACTATGCTGCGTAGGACGGCATCGTAGGGGCACGTAGCAGGGGGCCCGCCCCAGCTTTAGAACAGGGACAGTTTTCTAGGGGACGCGATGGTCAGCAAGACCCGAAGGGCGAGAAGGGTTAACCAGGCAAACTGGGGGTGAAGGGACGAGAGCAGAGAGTTCGAGAAGGGAGACAGCCTCCCTGACCTTAGAAGCCACGTTTCCTCCCTCCGCACGGACCGCATGACGTCCTCGCCGTCCTCCGGGGCGCCCGTGCGCCGTTCTGTCTGCCCAGCAGGCTCCCCTCCGTGGCCCAGGCCTCACCTCTAGGTCCCTGCCCAGTGGCCACTTAACACCACCACACCACCCCCTTCCCTCCCTGGCCCCCTCGGCCGCCCTCGTTATATTTTACTTGTCTACTTAGATGGTAAATTCCATGAAGGCGGAGGTTTGTGTCTCTTTTGTTCTCTGCTTAATCTCCCAGCAGAATGCTTGTCACTTGTTGGTCAGGAGGTGGTCGTTGAATGAATAAATGATCTCATGAATGAATGAGGTGGGTAGACTGGAGGAAGAAGGCACCAGGAGAAGCCCAGAATCCAGTGGGGACCAGTTTAATATTCAGGCAGAGGCTGCTCACTCCTTCTGACCGATATCTGTCTTTCCTTGTTAATTGCATTATTCTTTTCGTTGAAACATAAACCTCTTGGGATCAAGGGCTAAATTCTTAGACCTTTTCATCTTTCCAGCAAACGGATATTCAATGATAAAGTTAATTCTCGTTTGGCTAAAAGCACTCGAGCTGCTCAATTTTTTAGTCTTTTTTTCCTTATGCTGCCATTTGCCACTGCTAGGCTCTTATTTATTTGCTGGTACGGAATCAGTATGTCCGCCCATTGGATGCTCATGCAAAGCACGGGGTCTCCATGACAAACAAGGCTAGTGCTCAGTGCGGTCGCTACAGCAGTACCAGGGCCGATGGCGGCCTCAGTGTCAGCCCAGTGGAGAAACTGTCACTTCAGCAGCAGTCTAAGCTCCTTCCCAGCCTGGCGACTGTCACTCGTTACAGCTCCAGTCAGCTCGGGGGCAGGAATCATTCATTCTGACAGAGGGACATGGGTTCAAACAGCCGGGAAACCGCGTGTGCCATCAGTGCGTGCCGCAGGCATGGTTGCCAGTGCAGAGCTGTGAGCAGGGCTGTCCTCTGAGCTCCCTTCTTGGCGAGACGATTTGTCAGCCCAGCGTGAAACAGGTTCCGTTTATAAAGTTAATCTTCCCATGGCTTCCCCACTGTCCGCAGCCTAGTTATTGGGGGGCAGTTTGTATAAACGGGAGTCATTTGCGTGAGATTTTAAAAAACTGATGATATGCTTCCTTTGCACATTTGCTGTCATCTGTCTACAAGGGCCGGTGGCCTTTCGTGTTGCCGAGGGCGCATGTCACTCACCGTGAGCGCTCATTTTGTTCTCGATGCTTTTTCCTTCTGGTACGTCTGCTGAATTACTATCTAAGCTACTGCTTAAATGGCTAGCTGCACACGTCCTTAAAAAGACAGTTCCTTTGTCTTTCCCCTTCTGTCTCGTTATCTGTAGGGAAGGTGCTTTCACTCTCCACACGGTGCTCCCGGGGACCCGTGGGGACTGAGCATGAAGCACCTGCCCGGCCGCTCCCTCTAGTGCAGAACGCCGCCACTGGACGTTTTCGTTGGCACAGTCCACCAGGCGAAGTATAAATGGCTGTAAAACTGGAAAAGCGTTTGACTGAGTAAAGCAGATGTTCTCTTAGCAGGAAGCAGATGTAAAACTTGCCAGTGTCTGTCTGATAAAGTATAGCATTTGGTTCTGTACAGCTGGTGCCGAGATCGCCGATTCATCATGTTTGAACGCATTTTCGTTAAATAGGACCCTCCGTTCTTTACACAGTCTGGGCGCATCGCGGAGGGGGTGGGGCACGGGAGCTTTCTGCCCTTCGTGCTTGGAGCGGCGCTTGTCCCTTCCCACCTTGATGGAGTCAGCCTTTTATTCTGAGAACCATGCAGGCTGTGAAGCCCCCACGAGCGCATGACTGCTGCGGGTCTCCAGGCTGATTCGGGGTACAAGGTTGGGGTTAGAAGGTTCCACTGGGGGCGGCCATGCTTGGAACACTTCAGGGCAGCTGGAGAGAAGAAAGGGAATGTAACTAAACTTAATGGTTTGGGTTTCTTTTTTTTTTTTTTTTTTTTTTCCCCGCACCAAGGAAAGCTAATATTTGCTCAGTTAACGTCAGTTCACAGCCTCTGTTGTTACTTGACCAAGTAGGAGTTTGTACATAGAGTAGGTGATACCAGCTCCGTTTTACGTTCTCAAAGGCAGGAGAGCCGCTTTTCTCAGAGACCGAAGGCGAGTGGGTTAACGTGACCGCTCAGGGCTCTCTGCCGCTGTGGAAGACGCGTCCCGGCTCCGTGGCAGACATGGGAGTCAGAGCCGCCGCGTCCTGTCGCTCCACCCCCGCCTTTGCGTGGAGCAGACGTGCTGATCACAGTGAATTTCAGAGCCCGACTCGGCCTTCTTTGTAGTGTTTGATTTTTCCAGGATAAACTCGTTTTATACAAAAGGAAGCTCATTATTTAAGATTTGCTACCTACCCCTCCTCTCTTTTTTTTTAAGACTTAACAGCGATAGAACATAATAGTTTGTTTTTTCAAGGTCAATAATGGCATGTTTATACTCTTAGGTAATTGAGTATTTCTTCAATGCTTTATTCATGAATTGATTTATAATACTTATTTTTAAAGGATAGGAAAAATAGTTAAAGGGTATAAGAAATAATTTCCAAGTCTGATGATAAATAGCATAAATGGTTCTTTTAATGAAATATTTATTGCTATTTGAAAAGAGTCGGTGGTAGGAAAAAATAAAGATGCACTAAAAGTTTATTCACTGCAAAGCCAGACGTGTCGTGTTCGTCGTCCTCCCCCGGTGAGGCTGGGTTTGTGGAGCGTGGAGCTGCCGTAGCGGGAAAAGGCGTAGAAGGAAACGACTTTTAGACACTGTCGCAGATTCTAGGACCTGGACTTTTGAACCCTGGTATGAAGGAATCTGTGATGACATAGATATAATTCTTAGTGCATTGATACTGTTTTTTATTTATATATGAAATACAAGCTCTAAGAGTATTAACAGGATTATTGCAGAAAGACTTCCCCATCCTCATTGCCAGCTGCCTACATACTTCATGTTAACGTTTTAAATTTTATAAAAGCGTCCAGCAACCACGTTGACTGATAGCTATTGCTCTACACCTTCAGTTCTTCTAAGTGGAGCATTTATGTGAAAGCAGTTTAAGTTCCTTGCATCCATTTTCCTACCTGAGCGCCTTCCTGCTGTGCAAGAAAAGCCCACACGTGCGAGGCCTGCCCCTTCCCCAGGAACGCCTCCTACCCCTACCGTAAAAAGAAAACTGTTCATCTCGTAGGCAGGTGTCTAAGGCAGTTACAGTTCTTTTTATTTGGGAGATATTTTTGTACTGATCCAATTTTATTTCTCACTAATATTGTAAAAATGGTGGTGTGAAATAAAAGAAAAATGTTAACTCTGAAAAATCAACTTAAATGGAACTAGATATCTCCATTTTAAAAAATGGTTTGTTATGGAAAATTTTAAGTATCCACAAAAGTAGAGAATAGTATAATAAGCCCCTATAACATACACCCAATTCCTACAATTATCAGCCCTGTGTTGTTTTCATTTGCCAAGATTTCTTAAGACTGTATGTTCAGAGCTGTTTTTTCCTTTTAAGTTGGAGTTCTGTGTCCTGTTTCTATAGTGACAGACATCTAAACAAAACTAGGTCACGTGAACTCATAGCCCTCACTTCATTTCAGGAAGTGGAGCGAGAAATCTCCTTCCGAACAGAGTGTGGACTGTATTACTCGTACTACAAGCAGATGCTGCAGGCGCCAACCCTCACGGAAGGTAAGCGCCGTGCGCTGTCTTGGGGTCGGCCGCGTTCTCTCAGTGTCTCAGCCAAAAACTACATGTGCACTGAAGCATGTTAAATGTTTCGTATAACTTGCATAATGTTTTCTTTGAACTTGCGTGTCTTTCCCCGTTCACATAGTCAATCCATGAAAATGTTTTGCTCTATAAAAAGCTAGGCAGCACTTTATATAATGCCCCTCTCCTTGCCTCTCAGCCCTACTCCGACCCAAAATTAATCTGTCTGCAGTTGCTTGATTGGGAAGAGGGCTTTGCAGCTCAAAGGCACATTGTCTAAGCAGAGGCACTTGATGGTGCAGACGAACATCAGGGCGGTCCCCAGTGCTCATACAGTCCTTTATTTCACAGTTGCCATTTCCCCATATTTCTGTTTCTCAGAAGTGTAGCTCGCACTCTTTAGCTTTGCTCCGGCTGATGGAAGCCCCAGAAAGGGTCTCCCTGTGTAATACACACTCGATGCACTTGACATGACACGTGACACAGAGTTGCCCTCCGCTAGCCTTTGCCTGCATCCAGATAGATTTGGGGCAGGAATCCTTCATAGCTGCCACTCTGTACTTCTGGTTTTATTACACTAAGAGACATGAGATTTTGCTTATCTTTCTTTTTGTGCTATAAAAATTAATCAGTTGGTTTCTGTGTAGAGAGCCAGATTTACCCATAATAAGGTTAATTACTCATCAGCCAAAACTTGAGGCTTTTAGCAGCCGTTTGATGATCGTTGCCTGTATCCATTATTTTAGCAAGGTGACAGAAGGGACATTTTAATTCCGTCGTTGTTCCTGTCATTATTAGCAGGAACTCTGCTATATAGAAAACCTTTTCTTCATCAGCTATTTGATCGCCCTGAGGTACAGTTGATATGAGGCAGGATAAGCGTTGACGTTTTTCCTCATGTGGTTATTCATGAATTCCATATCTGCTAATTGCCCACTTGCTAAAACTAGTCACCCCCAGAGCAGTATTCATGGCGTTTTCAGTCACTCAGTGCTGTCTCGTGTCCCAAGAGACAGAAGGCCATGAAGAAGGCACACGGAGCAAACACGCATGTTCCATGAGCTTCCTCCAGTGTGAGCTAGCGTTAATGAATCAACCGTGTATATTAAAGAAACACACGTAAATCAAGGTCACGTGCCAATCGGTTGCTAAAAATGTATTATCAGAGGCTTGCAGGACCCTAACACCATATTTCCTGATAGTTCAGTGTCACTAAGTCAGTTTGCACTGCAACTTCGTGGAACATGACTGCCGTAAACAGAGTCAGCTGTCCAGGCCAGTTCTCAGGATTACGAGCTGCTTCTCCAGCACCCTCTAAGGCAGCGCTTCCGACTCAGGGCAGTCATGTCCCTAGGGGACAGTCAGAATGTCCAGAGATGGTTCTGGTTGTCACAGCCAGGGGAGGGAGAGAGCGTGCTCCTGGGATTTAGCGGGTCGAGGGCAGGGGTGCTGCTAAACATCCTGCAAAGCACAGGACAGTCCCCACAACAAAGAACTGTCGGGCCCAGACGTCAGAGCTCCAAGAGTGCTGAGTGGGAAACTGCCATGACGGTGAACTGGGCGCCTTCTCCTCAGGTGTCACTGTGCACTTAGTTCACTTAAGTCATTTGTTAAGATTTTTCTTTTAGAAAAGTCCAAACATTTTTAAAAAAAGAAAGAAAGAAAAGGTAGACGGAGAGCCCTGTAACGGGTTTCCACGTGTCTGTCGCCCCACCGCAGCACTTACCAGCTCATGACTGGCCCCGTCACCTGGCTGCCCCTCCCTGTCCCCAGCCGGTGACTACAGAGTAACTCTGGGACAGCATCCTGCTCCATGTGCGGATATCAGTGTGTCTCTCTGAAGGATGGCAACTGTCTGCTATAAGCATGCCGCGTTACTGTCACTGTAGCACGATTCGGAAATTACTTACCGTCTGAGACGGTTATCATGGCCGTCACTTCTTCAGGAATATGAATGTTGAATAACTGAGCTACACACTCGAAACTAATGCAATATTGTATCATAGCTATATTTTAACAAAATCTTTTTTAAAAGAGTAATATCTAATGCCTAAATTTGAGATATTTAATTTCACAATTTAAAAGTAAAAAAAGAAAAAGAAAAAAATTACGTACTATCAAATATCCAGTCACTGTTGGATTCTCCTGATTGTCTTACCGATTTTTAGTGCAGTTTTTGAGATCCAAAAACCCATATGTTATAGTCATTTGCTGTGTGTCTTTAAGTGTTTCTTTTAATCTATAGATTCCTTTCCATTTTTTTTCTTGTAACTTTTTGTTGAAAACGCTGAGTCATCTATCAGGTTTTCCCACGTTCCGGTTTGCTGGAGCCTGGGGTGCCATCTAATGCTTCTTCGGGTCCGACCCCCACTGAGCGAGGCGAGGCGCTCCCGGGTCTGGGTTCTCTGCCTGGTGAGAAGCCTGCTGGAGGGTGTCACACCCTCCGCGTCAGGAGCATGTTCTCTGCACGCACTGAAGACTGTGAATAGTTCAAATGAATGATTTTAATTGTAATCATTTTTTCCTGATTTTTCAAATATCGACCTTAGGTTTTCATGGCTTAATGTATGATAACAAAACTGAATCTATGAGGACAATTAACCTCCTTCAACGAATGAATATATACCAGGAGGTTTTTCTCAGTATTTTATATAGAGTTCTACCCATACAGGTACGTTGTGCTCGGTGACGTTGAGTTGTTCATAGAAGACGAAAGTCAAAATCTGCCATTTTAAGTGGAAAGTTTCACATATGTTGTTCTGATGTTCAGCCGGCTTGGTATAAAAGCAGCAGTACCCTAAATCTCTTCATGAATATTGCGGGCTTTGCTTTTTACTTATGTTTTATAAGATATTTTGAACAGATAGAAGCTTCTTGGCTTATATATTTGTGCAGTGTAGAACTGATAAAGATTTTCAGCATAATCACTCCTCACATATCTTTAAAATAAAAAACATTGGAAAATGAGCAAATTGCAGGGACCCCTTCTAGCGTGAGTAAGGTAGAGCTGGACAGAGCCAGGCAGGAGCCAGAGTCGCAGGACCGCCCCCCGCTGTGCTGGGGAGGCCAGGGGCTTGGGATTAACGTCAGGCTTCTGAGTATGGACTGTCGGCTGTCACTTTTTAAATGACAGGGAGAAAGGTCGGGGCTTCCCTAACAAATACCTTTTATGGTTCCCTTTTACAGAAATATTTGGAGCCAGTTTATTTTTATATTTACACCTTGTTTGGACTCCAAGCCATCTATGTCACAGCCCTTTACACAACCAGCTGGCTCCTTAGTGGCACGTGGCTGTCAGGACTCTTAGCAGCTGTCTGGTATGTCACTAACAGGTGAGTTGGAATCGGTCTGCCTTTCTCCCTTAGCAGAAATGCAGTTACTTAACTTCCAGCTCATAGAAAGCTGTTCTGCCCCATTCGTCGTGTGGGGTGTTCTCTCTCGGCTGGTGTTTGTCTCACTAAGTAAGGCAGAAAGCCCTCCTGTGTGATTCCAGCTGGGGACAGGGAGAGCAAGGAGACTCTTCCAGGATAGCCCAGTTCCGTCACCAGTTTGCGGTGTGACCGGTATTTCTCCGGCCCCGTAGCTCAGCTCGTAAAGTGCTTTAATGATATCTTCACTATCAGCCTTCACGGGGTGAGTGCAGCTCATAATTAGCAAAGCACAAAGCACAGCGCACATGCAAGGAAGTTCTTACGTTATTTAATTACCTTTTATTAACTTCTAAATACTGGTGCGTTATGAGATGTCATTTTTTATAAACATTCAAGATGCATTGACTTATGCCTGCCCTACAGTCAGCAACCACTGTGGAGAAGGAGACTTGAACACAAGTTCTAATGTTGACTTCATTTTATAATCCTAAACAGATTACTTTTTATTATAGCCTCATTGAGTGCTTACTATATGCCAAGCACGTTACGCAAGGTGTTATGTATATTCTTTTAACAACCCTGAAGAGGAGGTTCTCTTACCACCATCCTAGAGATGAGGAAATTCAAGCTTAAAAGATTAACTTGAAACATTAAGGTATGTGTGTGTGCGCGTGCGTGTGCGTGAGTGCGCATGTGTGTGTGTGTGAGTGTGCACATGTGTGTGCGTGCGTGTGTTTGCGTGTGTGTGTACAAGCACATATATTTATATAAATAGATGCGCAGCTGGGCCGTGGTCAGAATTCCAACATGAAGCATGAGACTGCTCTGTCACGCTGCCTCTTATGTTTGGATCCAGCGTAGTCCTCCTGCGAGGAGCAAAGGCAGGTCAGATTGTCCATGTTAAGAGTGAGTAAATGACGTTTGTTTGCCACCTGGTAGGGGGTCCTTGGTCCAGCGTGTGCAGAGGTGAAACATAACCATACTTGTTCTCGAGGGCTCATGTTCTAGGGAGGCGAGGAGCTGGCAAAAAATTTAAGGCTCAAGTGGACAACGCTCGGGACACGGGGGGCACAGGATGCTGGAGTTAGAGCCACACTGCAGGGCCGTCGGCACGAGCCCCCCTCAGGTGTGAGCCCCAACTCTGCCACTTAGCCGACCGCGTGGCTGTGGACAGGCTGCCCCGTTTCATGTCATGGGGATGGTGATGAGGACGCGTCACTATTGAGAACTGTAACCGGGATCTGAGGCCACCTACCGTGACGTGCTGTTCACACTGGGAGACCGTGTGTCACCGCAGTGACAGCGACGCTTTGCTCACCGTGTCTTCCCTGTGCAGAACAGACACGACGAGAGTGGAGTTCACTGTGCCGCTGAGGGAGAACTGGGCACTGCCATTCTTTGCGATCCAGGTGGCTGCGGTGACATATTTCCTGAGACCAAACTTACGGCCTCGTTCTGAAGTGAGTTTTTATAACACTTCATGTGTCTTCTCATCGTCCAGTTTTACCTAAGAAGCGTCGGGAAGCGGGAAGCGCACACGTCCCAGCACACGCGAGCCCTTCTCATTCATGCCACTTTTTCAGCTCGAGTCAAACGAAGTCTCCTTTCTGAGCCTTTGCCTACTTTGCAAAGAAAATGTTTTCATTTTTGTTGTTAAAAATGTGCTCTACATGATCTGCCCTTAAATAGTTGCAGCAAACCCACGGGCAATTTCTGCGAAACTGTCAGAATCTGTAAGCCATCGCTTTTGAGGTGATCGGGTGCATTACCGCCTCCATTCCAGTGCGGGTACAGATGCCGTATGTGAATGTTTACATGCCAAGCGTCACTTCAGGCTATTTAGAGCTTAAATAACAAGTGCAGGCGTTTTCAGAGTGACAGTTTATGGCTTTTCTGTTTGGTTAGATCCCGGCTGCTCTTGAGCAAACTTGTCTGTGAGGCTTTTTATTACCAGTGGCATGGAAATGACACGAAGGTTTTCTTTCCACAGAGGCTGACACTTCTTGCCATTTTCGTATCAACCTTCCTCTTCAGTCTGGCGTGGCAGTTTAATCAGTTTGTGATGCTGGTGCAGGCGCTGGTGCTGTTCTCACTGGACTCCCTGGACATGCTGCCCGCCTCGAAGGTGAGCGCTACGCCTTCGCGCAGGCGGCGCTGCTGTCTCGTTTGCAGTCGTGGGATGCGCGTGCGCGTGCACGGCTCTTGTGTAAATACACAGTTTGGAGCCGAGTAGGCACGCAGCCCAGTTCAGCCATCTCAACTTTTGTCCTGCTTACCTGACATTAAAAGATGGATTTATTTGGATCGCGAATATCCTTTATGGCAGGGGTCCCCGACCCCTGGGCCACGCGGACTGGTACCGGTCTATGGTCTGTTACGGACAGGGCCGCATAGCAGGAAGTGAGCGGCAGGCGAGCAAGCAAAGCTCCATCTGTGTTCGCAGCCGCTCCCCAGCGCAGGCGTCACCCCTCAGCTCCACCTCAGACCGTCAGGCGTTAGACTCACAGGAGCACCGGTCCTTGGCCTCAGAAAGGTTGGGGACCGCTGCTTTATAGAGATGGCTTAAATTTTAAAATATAAGATAGCTCTCGTAAAATGTATTTCTATGCGTTGCCTTTTTTTTCCCCCAAGGAAATCGATGAGTATGTAACAAGTTTTCTGTGGCACTTTATAAAATTTTTATAGTAACATTTAACCAGTCCCGACTGACTGAACGAAGGTCACATGTGAAATAAGGCAATTATAGGGAAACTCTGGTTAGTTTCTCATTGTGTGCTGCGGTCATTCAATTGAATGGCTTTTTTTCCATGTGCAGGAATATGTTTTAATGTATCACTTATGTTTTTTAAATTGCTCAGTTACTATTCTGAAGTAGCAGTAACGTAAATATTTTCCACACGTAATAAAATGGTATCTCCAGAGCCAGGACAGCGACACACTCTGATACGGAAGAGTCGCCCTGCTTTACTTCGTGTCGAAGGGTGAGCGACAGTCTTTGGAAACTGACAGAATCTGAACTGGGAAGCATCCCAGGCACCCAGCAGGTTCACGGTGACAGCGTGGGCGCCACAGAAAGCGGCAGCCTGTGCAAGATGCTGCCCCCTCCCCAGGGAGTCTACCATCTAGCCTGGGAAGTAAAGACATAGACAGCATGGTTCATGTGCTCATATTTTTTGTTCTTTAGATCTTTTGGATTTTTCTGTAATGAACATAGATTTCTTTTTTTTTTTTTCCTTTTAAAATTAGAAAACAATAAAAGATACTGTTTTGGCACATGCAAAACTAAAGAAGAACACGGCTAATTTACTTCATGTTCAGTTCTAAACTGTTTTAAACTTTTCTATCTGGAACTTTGCTGGTAGTAGAAGTAGTCTTAAGTATCAGAATTTAAGGCGGAACAGTATTATAAAGAAAGAGTCCCAAGTCATAAAGTTGAGTTGCTGCTCTGCTCTGGAAAGAACTAGCTCTTTAAACTTCAGCCTGTGCTTCAGCTTCTCAGAGCTTCAGTTTATTCATAAATGAGACTCGCTGATCTCTAACCTCATCGAATGGCGAAGGATCAGGAAAAGGTGATACAGATTCAGAGCCAGATGTGGTGACAAGCACCGTCTTCTTGAGTTCGTGGCATCTTTCCATGGATGTTGGAAAATCTCTTTTCATCAGAAGCTCAAGTTTTCCATCAGAAATATGTGCAAAGGTTTTTAGAATAGAGCAGAACAGTAAGTGGTACTTTCAAGCATATACGTTGCTCCATTAGAGACAGAATGTGGAGGTTAATAAAGTCTTATCAGCCGCGAAACAGCGTGACACGTCAGTGCCCAGATTGTGAGAGCGGACCCTCAAAGGGACCCTCAAAGGGACCCTCAAAGGGACCCTCAAAGGACTCCGTGTGGCCCCAGACGAGGCGGAGCGGGTGCGCTTCTCCCTCGTCTCCCGCTACGCACGGCGCAGGCCCTGGACCACGGGCCTGAAACAACGTCAGGAGGCCTGAGAGGTGGAGAACGGAAGGCGGTCTGCCTCGAGGCCTCGAGACGAGGGAAAACGTGGCCGTGAGCTCCTAGGCTTTCGTTTGGCCTCATGTGAACCAGACTAGGTGCTGGGAAAGTCAGCACCCAGGAAACACCAAGGGACTCGGGGAAAAAAGCTCCACAAAAGGACCGGAAAAGGAGAAGCCTAGCCAGGCAGGAGACATGGGCGTTACCTGCCCTGCTGCAGCCAGATACAACCAAACGGCCGCCCCCACTGCCGCCGGCAGCCCGCCGCGCATCGGGCATCCCAGTGACCATCAGGGATGTTCTGGCGTGCAGTGCTGCTCGCCAGCAGGGTTCCCCTGAACGTAAGGTGTGCTCACGTTTACAGACCATGCAGTGTTGTAGTACAAACTGCCTTTTTTTTCTAGAAGTACGCCCAGCCAGTATAGAAAGAACCGCCAGCATCCAAAGGCACCATAATCCAAACAAAGGGAAACAAAACGATGGTTTATTTTTTCAAATACATTTGTGAATGAGTTGTTCTTCTCAGAGGTCCTGCAAATCAATGAAAAACACATGTGCACCCTAATAGAAAAGAGAACAAAAGGCAGAAATGCTTTCTAGAAGGAAAATGTCAAAAAGAATAAACTACTTAGGTATAAACGGAACGAGAAGTACTGACATATACTCTGAAAACTACAAAACATCGTTGAAAGGATTAAAGACGTCCGTACGTTAGAAAGACGCCCCTGGTCGTAGGTTGGAAAGCTCACTGTTAAGATGTCAGTGCTCCCCAAATCTGCAGATTCGGCACAGCTCCTCTCGGAATCCCAGGTGCGTATTTTGCAGAAACTGACAAGGTGATCATAAAATTCTCATGGAAACTCAAGGGACCCCGAATAACCAGAACAACCACGCAGAAGAACAGCGTTGGAGGACT